TAGAATATCTATAACATCAATACAAGACTATTATCCTATAGAAATCAAATCAAATCAAGTCCCGATAATTTTCTATTCGATTAAAATCGCGTAGAATCAATTCCGACGGGTAAAATCTTCGTAGAATACAGTCAAATTGTGTGCAATAATCATATCTATAACATATCAAAAGTTGTGCGGTGAAAGTTGTGCCAAATCCAAATCACGTCGAAAAGTCGACTACGAAAACACAAAACAAATCATAACTCGGTCAAAACTCAATATCTTTGAAAACAGAAATAGGGTTCGGAGTCCTTACCACGAGATCTTCACTTTTCCCAACAGCAGCGTCGGACGAAAAGCGCTCCGCGGCCTCCAAAACCAGGTTTTCCTCTTTTTCCCTTTCTCTTTCTCTCTCCTCAAAATATCTGATTTTCATTTATCATTAGTCGGATCGGCCCGGCCGATCGCCAGATCGTCCCAGGACGATCAGACCAAAAACGATCGGCCTGGACGACTCCCAGAACTATTCTCAGGCCGATATTTTCTACAGTGCCGATCGGCCTGGACGATTTCCAATCGTCCTGGACACAGTGCTGATCGGCCTGGACGATTTCCAATCGTCCTGGACGATCCTGAGAGGAAAAATCCAAATCAGAGAGGAACAGTAAGGGAACGAGGTCTCACACCTAAAAACCGGGAATAACCCAAAATGACTTGGAATGCACACAAACCCATCTGCCCGGATGACCCGGCCCGCTTCCCGGCTGCCCTGCCTTCCTGGCGCCCGCTTGCCCAAATGCGTCACGTCACGTTGCATCCCGAGGTCAGGTCGTATCGAATCCCGAAGCCATGTCTCATCGCGTCCAGCATCAGTCGCCACCTCGCCAGCATCCATAGTCAGTCGTCGCCTCGCTGGCATCCACGGCAGTTTCGCGCCACATTGCGTCTCAAGGCCATGTCGTGTCCGCAGGTTCAGTCGGGTTGACCCGAACCCGAAGCAGGTTGGGTTCGGGTCTAGAAAATTGACCCATTTAAAAAAATGGGTCAGATCGACCCGAACCTGAATAATGTCGGGTCAGTTTCGGGTTCGACCCGAACCCGACCAGTAACTCGAAATTAACACCCCTAGCTCCAAGCAATAGAGCAAGAGAGAGATCGGAGATCGCTCTTGCCTCCTCAGTCCTCCTCAACCACCACCTGGAGTTCCGCTGGACCACCACTTGAGGCCCCGAGCTCCACCGGACCACCACTGAAGGCCCTGAGCTCCACCGGACCAACACTTGAGGTCCTGAGTTCCGCCGAACCACCATATGAGGCCCCGGAGTTCTGCCGGAGGCCCGAAGTTCTGTTGGACCACCACCTGAGACCCGAAGTTCTGCCAGACCACCACCTGAGGCCCGGGCTTTTCCCGGACCACCACTTGAGGTCTTGAATTATGCCGGACCACCGCCTAAGGCCATGAGCTCCGCCGGACCACCACCTAAGGCCCGAACTTCTGCCAGACCATCACCTGAGGCCCGGACTTCTATTGGACCACCACCTGAGGCCTGGAGTTCTGCCGGACCATCACTTGAGGCCTGAAATTCTGCCGGACCACCACCTAAGGCTCGGATTTCTGTCAGACCACCACCTGAGGCCCGGAGTTCTGCCAGACCACCACCTGAGGCCCGGACTTCTACCAAACCACCACCTGAGGCCCAAACTTCTGTCAGACCATCATCTGAGGTCCGGACTTCTACCGCCGCATCTACATGACCATCACTAGAGGCCCAGACTTCTGTCAAGCCTCCCCCTAATGCCCAGTGTTCTACCAGAGTACCATCATACAACAACGATCTTTTTGATCCCGGTCTCCTGTTAATTGCAGTCTTTCGAACCCTTATCTCCTGCCGACTATGATCCTTCTGACCTCCATCACTAGACAATGGTCTTATTGACCCTGGTCTCCTATAAACTATGGTCTTTCGGACTCCTATATCTTGTTGACTACGGTCCTTTCGACCTCCATTGTTAGACAATAGTCTTTCTGACCCCGATCTCTTGCCTACTATGGTCTTTCTGACCTCTATCCTATCGATTATGGTCCTGCCGACCAAATAAACATGTCAATGTGGATTATTGTAACTCCCACCATGTAATGCGCTCTATATGATGTACATTTGTGACATCAAGTCAAGGCCTTCTCCGAAGGAAGGGCCTCATTTGTAATCGATTGTAAATACTAGTTGATTCATTCAAACTGTGCCAGGCCTCGTGGTTTTTCCCCCTTTTCTTGGGTTTCCACGTAAAAACTCTAATGTCCTTTATAAATGCTACACCCTCCTCTTATATGCTTGTGTGCTGGATCTTCGTACAATGCTAAAACGTTAAATTATATATTTCTCTACTGCCGCGAATATTCCAGAACGCAACAACTATAATTATTTTATGTCTATTTCTCTTTTTGGAGAAATAACTCTAAAATCTTATTTCAAACCAAAATATCTTTAATTTTGCTAAAGACATGCGCTTATAATATCCTTGATTTTGACTGTGATATACTTATTTAAAGTCTGGCTTAAAAAAAAGTGAATTTGAACCAAATTGGAACCTTGTTCAAATCAAGCTTGAAAATGCTCGAACAAGGAGCACACAAGGTTCGGTTTTCTTCGAACAAGGTTTAAACATGATTTACCTTCGACAAATATAACAATGTATTCCAATAGCTTTAACATTGTAGACTAAAAGGTAGATGCAAAAGAGCGAGTGCATTTATAATTTCTATAATATAATATGGTTATAAAAAAGTTTAACAAGATAAATATAACACAATAGAGAGCAATCATAATAACTATGATATTGCAAATTATAAGATAGATAATACATAGTGTAAAATAACAATTATAATATATCTGTTGTGCCTTGGAATATTCATGGTGGTAGTGATATATAAAGTTTAGCGTCCAGCTTTGTATGATATCTAACACGCAAATATATAAATAAGTAGGCCAGGGGTGCAACGCTCATAAGAGATCAAAGTTTTTACGTGTAAACCCTTGAAAATTGAGAAAGTGAAAATTGGGAAAAATCACTAGTGTTTACAGTTGATTATAAATGAGGCCCTTCCTTGAGGGGAAGGTCTTGGCTTGATGTAACCAATATGCATCATATAGAGGGCATTGCATGGTGGGAGTTGGAAGAATTGGTATTGACATGTTCGTTTAATCGGTAGGACCATAGTTGACAAGTGATGTAGGTCGGAAGAATAGTAGTTGGACAATAGTGGACGGAAGGACCGTAGTCAGACGACGGAGGTCAGGGAGATCATAGTCTGGAGATAATGATAAAAAAGATCGTAGTCGACGGGCGACTAAGGATGAAAATACTATAGTCGGGTGATGGTGGTCGAAGAGACTTTAGTTAGACGACAGTGATTGACATGATTGTAATCAGTGGGCAGCGGATATCAGAAATATCTCAATTAGGCAATATTGGTTGGAGAGATCATAGTCGGGCAACCGTGGTTGGAAGGACTGTGGTCGAGCGATGGAGGTCGGGGAGATAGTAGTTTGGAGATGGTGGTCGAAGAGATTATAGTTGATAGACAACTAAGGATCGATGTAAATACTATAGCTGGAAGATTGTGGTCAAACAAACCATAAGTGATATTGGTCGGCAGGACTGTAATTGGCGGGCGATGGACGTCAGACAGACTGTAGTCATGTGATGATAATCAGATAGACCGTAGTTGACAAGCGACGGTATTTGGGAGGAGATCTAGCATTAATATAATCCAGGAAGAGTTTTAGCAATAGTTGGAGAACGGACAAAGATCCAGCAACAGTCAGTGGTCGGGAAGAGATATGACGATGGCCGATGGCAAGGGAGCTCTCCAAGTTTTCTCCTTTTCTTTCTCCCCCTCATGTGAAGCATGGGGGACTATTTATAGTTTTATAGGAGTGGCGTGGCTAATAAATAGGAAGAAGATCAATGGCATGTTGGGAGTGTTCCATCAGATGGCTCATAGTGATCCCTTTAATCATAAAGTGTTTATCAAGCATTTAGATGCCCTAGAGATGTTAGAATTGAGTGATCTTGGGCTCGTTGGATTCATCTCACCTAGTCGCTCAATTCAACTATAAGCATGTCATATTCGAATATCATTTGGTAGTCAAATTAATGCTCTTAAGGTTCCAAATATACTTTGGACCTTTGATTGGACTCATTTTGGCTTGGATTTGATCAAATTTTATGTCATTGGGTTCATCTCTTTGGTGCATTCAATTTGATTATAAGCTTGTTGAAATCCCAATTTTAATTTTTAAAATCTCAATCTCATATTTACATCGAGATTTGTGCCCCAATCAAGATGAATCTTTGGTGACATATCAATATTAGAGTTCAGTCTAATAGTTATAACACGTCATAATGACAAAAAATATATCATTGCATAAATTATTAAGTGACAAACTATATCAAATGAAAGCAATTATAATATTATACTATAACAAAAATAGTAAAATAAAAATTTTATGAAAGTGATGGGTAACTTGATTATGACTTCTCACTCCACATCAATTACACTTATGCCTACTAAGTCAAGGTTGAGCCTTTAAGTAGTCATTCGATCTAACATTCAAAGTGAGAGTGTGTTCTAATTCATGATTCATAATCTCAAAAATATTTGAGTTTGCCAACTTCATAACATTCTCTTTGACACATCTTTGATCTAAAATAGTCGCCCAAATTCTAAATGAATTGACGACAAATTAACTCAAACATGAGACAATTATATAAATAGACATTAACGTTTCGTTTGGGACGGCTTTCTTATTGTTTATTAAAGTTGCTTTCTAGTACAAAAATTAAAAGTTTTGTACTAAAAAGCTGTTTTAAGAAGCAGTAAAAAAGTCGTCCCAAACGAAGCCTAAATTGGAGGTACTTTTAGGTATTAACCTTTGTATAATACGAGTTATCAAAGTCTTCTTCACACTTTACATGATTACTTTTAGTCCTAAAATACTAAGAGACTTCTTTCCAAAATGTTTGTCCACACATAACTATGTGCTTCAATCAATTTCAATGCTAAAAGCAAAGTCCACATATAACTAAAACAAAACTTGTCTCTAAACCAAAAAGATACTCAAGGAAAAATCTGATTATGGTGCCCAACTTAGCATGTTGGTTTGTTCTCTTTTATTTATTTCATTAGTACTTCATTTTTTTTTTATCTATATGTCTACATATAAACCTCCATTATGAAGATAATTTAGTAAATATTTCAATTTTGTTTGGGACAGTATTTTTTTCTAGTTTCAAGAGATTTTTGTACTGAAAAACAACTTTACAAAGCACTAAAAAAGCATCCCAAAAAAAGCTTTAATATTTATCAATTGTCTTCTTTTAATATGAATGGATATCAAACCAACTTTTGCATAAAATCAATCAACAAATAAATGACATCCATATATTTAATCGCTGAATAAGTCTTTTTCGAACAACTTTCTTAATGCCTTATTTTTCATACTACAAGCACATTTTATATTTAGTTATTATTTTTTTGTTGTATTAAAAATAAATTATGTATTGGAAAGCTATTTTTTTACAGTAACTTACGAAAAAGATAATTTTCATACAACTTTATAACAACTTTTACATGAAGCTACAGCAGTCTCAAATAGATATTAAATTTAAGTTTCGTTTGGGACAATCTTTTACTGCTTTCTAAAATAGATTTTTAGCACAAATTTTTTTAAAGAATAGCAAAAAAATAGTGGTAAAAAACTCTCCCAAATGAATCCTTGGAAATATTTTGATCAAATCTTTCGAATAAGCTCTAGACTTTCATTAGTTGCATAAGACCTTAATTTACCTTGCGATAACTGATCATTTGTAGGACAATTAAGCTAATACAGATTACCATAGCCATTAATTAATATATTTTTCCTTATATAAAAACTTCAAAGACTTCTAATCTCCAACATCTGCTAAATCACAACTTTGTTTATTGAGACAGCTTTCCCTTCAAGAAGACTCTGCACAACCTCTCCCAAGCTTCTCTGTCTGGCTCTCTCTCATTCAATTCCTTCTTCACATTTTCAGCATGGGATTTCTGCATCAAATAATGTTGAATTAGTCTCATTTCATTACAGAGTTTTGTTTTCAATTACAAAGATTTGGGGAAGAGATTATTTTGTGCAGTGCCAGAACGGAGTTCACCGCCCGAAGATCAATCAGAATGTGCCTCATTAATGGTACCGAGCTGCGGTACCGAGCATTATCGAGCCGGGTACTGAGCAGGGGGGTGACGTGACACATTATGATTGGTCTCCGAACGGCGTTCGGCGTTCGCAAAAAATAATTTCACGAGCTATTCCGTTTAGAAATACTCACTTTTATTAGCCATATTCTCATTAATATAAAACATGAAAAAAAAAAATTGAGAATATTTAGATCAAAATTTTTATCATGACAGATCTCAAAACAAGTAGAAATTGTGTTAAGATAAGTGTAATACATATTTTATTTGATTTTTTATGTATCACACTCATCTCAAAGCATATCTAACGATTTTGAAACCCGTCACAACTCAAAACTTCTTCCTATGAGATATAAAGAGAGATTGAGGGGTCGTTTGGGCCAGCTTTCTTACTGCTTCTTAAAGCTAGTAGAAAAAAATTAATTTTTATACTAAAAAGCTGCTTTAAGAAATGATAAAAAACCGTTCTAAACGAAGCCTGAATCTTCGTTTATGACAGCTTTCTATATCTATTGATTAAGGAGCAAGAACTCACCTCAATGAGATTGGAATCAAGAAGGCGATCAACAAGGTGCAAAAGGATGCCTTTGGTGTACTCAGGATGGCCTTGAATTCCCATAATATGATCATCACACTTAAACATCTCAATCCCCGTCTTCTCCGATCGAGCCAATACTTCTACAAATGGTGGCAACTCCAACACCTAAGCAACATAATTCAAACGTTACAAAGTTAGGCTTTGTTTTGGACAACTTTCTTACTGTTTCTTTAACCAGCTTTGTAGTATAGCTGCTTTAAGAAGTAATAAGAAAGCTATCCAGACTTCGTTTATGACAACTTTTTTATTACTTTATGCAACAACCTTTTAGTTTAAAAACTTGTCAATATCGTGAAAAAATATTAATCAAAAGCTGTCCCAAACGGAACCTTAATTCTCACCACACTACAAGAAATTCATCGCTTACCGGCGGTCTGGACCGGCGGTTTTCCAGCCGCCGGTAACAACGGCGGTTTAACCGCTCGTAATAACGGCGGTTTACGGCGCCGTTTTTGCCGGCGGTTTTTGAACCACCGAAAAGCCACTGTTGTTTTACAAAACCGCCGAAAATAACCATCGGTAATGAGTGATTTTCCTGTAGTGCCATTAGACGTAAATATATGCTCTCTTATTTATCACCAACCTCATCACGATGGCATTCAATCACAGAAAGCTGAGGGGGGACATCGAGTGGAGAGAAGAACTTGTTCAATGAAGAAGAGAGATGAAGGGGAGTCACCCCTATATCCCATCCTTTGAATGCTCTTCCTGTGTTGCCTCCCAATGCTCTGCCAATTATCTGACAATGCAGCATCAAAAAGAGCTACATTTAACAATTGAAAACAATAATAATTTATATCATTTTATAGGGCATTGGTACACAATAAAAAACATGTGAAATAATGAAATAATAAAAAAAAAAATTAATCAAATTAATTTTTGCTCCAATGGGCTTCGATTTTAAAAATAAGTTTATGAGTACTTATTGTGATTGGTTAATGAGTTCACGAGTCGAGTTTATCGAATCAAATGTTCAAGCTCAAGTCTATATAGGAGTTTTTGAGCTCATTTGACTCTATTTGTAAGCTTGTTGACCTACTTGATTAATTTAAAATATATTTAAAAATTAATTTAAATTAGTATTATATAATATATCTTAACCTTTAAATTTTTTAGCGAGTCGTGCTAGAGCTGAGAATAAGAAATTAAAAATTAAATACAAATTTTTTAGCGAGCTTAGAATAAGAAATTTAAATTAGTATTGAAAATAAAAATTCTAAAAAATAAAATACTAATTTTAAATTAAAACTAAGAAATTAAGCTTAACAATACAGTCAAACTCCAGCTTTCAAACGAACTTGAGCAATAGAGTCGAGCTAAAGCCTATAATTTTTTAGCGAGTCGTGCTCGAGCTTAGAAAATGAGCTCAAGTCAAGCTTTAGTTTAGTAAGAATTAAATAAACTTAGATCAATTAGACAGATATTCGACTCGACTAAATTAAACCCAATAATCTTAAAGTCTATCCTAAACTAGGATGAAATCAACTTGAAATCAAATTATTTACATCCCTAAAAGAGGTTATTGTTTTATATTAAAAATTATTATCTTTGAAAAAACAAGAAAGAAAAAAAATTATCAAATAAAAAATTAAGATATGATTATATATATGAAAAATTAGGACATAAAAACTACTTTCTATCACCATAAGATTTCGTTTGGGGCAACTTTCTTCCTATTTTTCAAAACAACTTTTTAGTACGAAAAATTTTTTAACTATAAATTTTTACACTAAAAGGTAAAAATATGGATATCAAAACAGATTGATATGTTGGGTTCGGGTTGAATCCAAGTTGACCCGGGTCTAAACGAGTCAACCCAAACACACCCCGATTTTACAAACGGATCTACATTTCTAACCCAGACCCGACCCACAATTATTTAGCACACAATTATAATATTATCTAAATTATTCTAACAATTTTATCCTCTAATTTAATTTTTTTAACTTATAAGAGGGGCCAACCTTTTTCATGTTCATGATCCATTTCTTCCATGTTTTTTCCAATTGTCCAAATGGCATAAATTTATTTAATTAATATTCCTAATTCTAATATAAATTATAAATTTCATGATATAAAAAAACCTCCAGCCATGGTTCATGAACCCCTTAAAGACATTGCAAAGTGATTCAATAAAAGCAATAGTGACATTATTGTAATGAACACGATAACCTTCGACTTTATTAAATTATTTTTCAGCTTTCAGTTAAGTTTCGTGTAGAAATTTTCTTTTTTTCATTTAAGTTATTAACAGTTACGTCCTGATTCAGCAGTATTATTTATTTCTAATAATAATAAGAATAATGTAACTGCATTACTTCTTCTATGTGAATGTCAATTAATTAGATAGTATATTAAAGTTTTGTTTGGGACAGTTTTCTTAGTTTTAGTTTTATACATTTTTGTACAAGAAAAAGCTGCTTTGAAAAAAGCCGTCCCAAACAAAGCCTAAGGTAAACTCACACGCACATCAAATACACGAGTTTTATTATTCTGTGTGGAGTCCAGAGGGCATCCGAAGACCAATAAAAATGTGCCACGTCACCCCAAATATATACCGTGCTCGATACCGAGCTCAATACCCGCCCTTGATACCGTTCGGTACCAAGCGCTTAACCAGGCAGGAGAACCGTCCGGTGCCCGCACAGAATAATAGCTCGTAATTTCTCCTATCAACAACATCCAAAGTCTACTAACATTCATCCAAAATCTACTAACATTCATGAAAATTTCAAAAGTTCAATTTTTAATGTAGGTGGTGAGGATGCGCCTTTGCTCACATGTGAATGAAATAACAAAATGTGATGCTGATGGCTAACTTCTTACTCTCCAAACCATCCAAAAACATTCTCTTTTTATCAATAGAAGAACAGAAAGAAACAGAGAGATTGAGAACAGAACCTGATGACCAAAGCAAACACCCAATAGCTTCTTCTTACGAGCATTCAGCCTTCTCACAAACTCTATAAGCTTCTTGATCCAATCCTCATCGCCATGAGCGTCGCTGCAGCTTCCACTGATAACGAAGCCGTCGTAGCTCTCCACATCGCCGTCGGCCGGAAACTCTCCCCTCGCCACCCGGTAAGCTTCCCATTCTTCTCCTTCTTCCTCTAATAATCCCATGAAGACCTTCAGATATCCTCCGTATTCATTCTTCACGTACTCGGAATCCTCTGCACATAACAGCACTGCATATTTCCTCTTCGTTTCCATTAGTTAGATTAGTATTGGTGGAAGAAGAAGACGAAGGAGAGGAGATTTGAAAGAGAATTGGTAAGAAGAGGCCATTCTGATGGTCTTATAAGGCAGGGGAAGGGGTTGGGCCCACTTTGAAGGAGATTTGTCATTGACTAAGTGAGTGACTTTTTTTAATGAATTAAGGTTAATAAAAAAATCTTATATTTAATTATTTGTGCTATAAGGGGAAAAATATATAGATTAATGACAAGTTTCAAAAATTCTAGATTTGTTTATATAAAAAAAAACTCTTATATTTATTAATATTAACGTGACCGTGTTTTGCGACCAATCAGAAACCGATGGAGGCGGGTGAGATTGTGGGTGCGCGGGCCAGATTTAGGATACAGAGTATCTCCGATCGGGAACATCTAAAACTGAAAATTGACAAGAATTAATTATTGCGCATTGAACCCTCGGAGTGTCAGATTTGTAAAACAATCGAAGAAATGATAAAAATGGAATGGAATCAAACTGAATCATTCAATTTGTTCCTTATTTTGGATTTAGAATTAATAACTGATAAGATATTAATTGATTTGATTCAGTTTATATATTTATTGATATTATTTATTTATTTTTATTTGAAATGCTGTACTTATCATATACCGGAGGCACGTTTTATTCACAAATTTATCTTCTTAACTAAGAAGTAAATATCATAATTAAACAGCAGATAACATTCATTGTTAATGTTAACTAATAATCAATATTTATACTAAAATTGTAGTTTAGTAGATATTTAAAAAGTTTATGTTAGAATATTCTTATAAAAATATATTAATATTATGTAATTTATGTTTAAATTAGTCATATATATGATATATTGAATTGCACAAATCTCAGCATAGATTTTGAATGCATCATTATATTTTGACATAATTTTTTTTTTTCATTTTAAAGTCATTATGATTTTCATAAGTACAAATAAATCAATTTAAATATCTATTACATTCAAATAAAAAAACTTAATGCTTTCAAAAAATAAAAAAATTAATAAAAAATATCCTAAGACAATTTTTTTTCTTAGTAAATAATGATTATAATATTAAAAGTATTATATTAGAATACCCTAATCAAATCTTTGATTAACATAAATTTCACATCCATTTAATTTACTTTTTCATAAATTCAATAAAAAATTTAATTATTATATATACTAACAAATCTACAAATTTTGAAACTGAAACTGGTCATTACTCAATATATTTTTCCTCTTATAGCACAAATCATTAAATATAAGATTTTTTCATTAGCCTTAACTAATTAAAAAAAAGTCACTCAGTAAATGGCAAATATCCTCCAAAGTGGGCCCAACCACTTCCCCTGCCTTATAAGACCATCAAAATGGTCTTTTCTTACCAATGCTCTCTCAAATCTCCTCTCCTTCTTCTTCCACCAATACTAATCTAACTAAAGGAAGCGAAGAGGAAATATGCAGTGCTATTATGCTAAAATTAGAACTAGGAAAGAGGATCTTAGGTTACTTTATGCTAAAATCAGAAGTAGTAAAAACATTAACACTTTAAAAGTGTTTTTTGATCATGAAAGTTGTTTCTGCAATCATAAAGACATTGCTCGAGCTCTTATTAATCATTTCAGCAAACTTTTTAATACTTCTGCACCACCCAATGCTAACCATTGGGATTATCATATCGGAAATTTACTTCCTCGTGACTTTGCTAACTATTTGGTTGCCCCATTCACAAATGAGGACATCCAAGCTGTAGTTTTCTCTTTAACCTCAACCTCCACTCCATGCACTGAAGGTTTTACTGTTGAATTTTATAAAAACAATTGGGATATTGTAGGGATTAAAGTATGCAATGTTGTTAAGATTTTTTTTTTTTTTTTATTCTGGGCACTTCCCTAAACGGGTTAATCATAACCTTAATTTCTAAACATTATCATGCTACTACTATTTCAAATTACATGCATATTTCTCTTTGTAATGTTTTAAATAAGATTGTGGCTAAGCTCCTTACTAACAAACTAAAAAAGGTTTTACCTTCCATAATTAATGAAAGCCAAGTCGGTTTTCTTCATAATCGTTGCTCTTCTGATAACATTATCCTAGCTACTAAAATTATGAAGGATTTCAAAAAGTCTAGAAATCTTTTATGTGTTAAATTTGATATTCTAAGAGCTTTTGACTCGGTTTCTAGAGATTTTATTATTACTCGTATTTTTGTTGCATGGCAAAACTAATGACAAGAAATTGCACACTTTACCTGGTCCACGATTTGTACACCAAAAATTGCTCGAGGTTTTGGTTTACCTTCGATTGATGCTTTTTATCACAGTTTCACTTGTTCTCTTATTTGGAGAATTTTGTCCCAAGAAAATGGTTTAGCACCATGGTATAGAGGGAAAATCTCTTCCCCATGGAATCCTCTCCCTATTCAAGCATCTAAAATGTGGAAGCTCATATGTTCAGTTGCCTGCAAAATTAAGAATAAGATTTCCTTACACATCTCTGCTAACAATAACTTATCAATTTACTGGGATCCATGGTGTACTAGTGAAGCCATTTCAGAATTTATAAATCCTCCATATGTTTCAAATGACCCGGCTCTTTAATGACCTGCCTAGGACTGTTTTGGATGAAATAAAAAACATTCCAATTGGTAAGCATCCGACGGTTGTCTAGAAAGGATTACCAAATCTGACTCATCCTTTATACATGGCTAGCTATTATGAGTTCTTACCATAGGTGGTTTGGCATAAATTTATTTAGTATAAAAGGCATGCTATTCATTATTTCATTTTCGCTTTCTACTTGAATGACAATTATGGAGAGATTAAAATCGGTTAATTTGCTATTAATGAGGAATATTGACATTAATTCCTCATGCATTTTTTGCCTTAATGCGGCGTATAATCATAATCACTTATTTTTTTAATGTAATTTCTCATTTTCGGTAATCTCTAATCTACTTCCGCATATGGATAAGTTTGTTTATGAGGCCAACTTTATTGCAATTATTGGAGCATTTTGATCTTATACAAGGATTTAGTAACAATGTTAAAAAAATAAATTTACTTTGTTATTTCTTCCTTTGTTTACTTTCTTTGGATTGAAAGAAATAAAAGGTGTTTCACTGGCAAGTGGGCCTCTCCCTTGACTCTAAGATCTTCGGCCAGAAATGCTATCAAACTTAAAGTCATGAAACGGAAAAATTATGAGGAGCTTCAAAAAAAATTTACAAAGATTCTTTATTGAGTTGGGTTTTCATGTTTTTGTGGATGATTTGATGTATGGACGATGATGATTGATGCCAACATGTTGGAGGATTTCTTTGGTTGGTATCAAACTTAGAGTCATGAAATGGAAAAATTATGAGGAGCTTCAAAAAAATTTTCTAAAGATTCTTTATTGAGCTGGGTTTTCGTGTTTTTTGTGGATGATTTGATGTATGGACGATGATGATTGATGCCAACATGTTGGAGGATTTCTTTGGTTGGTTCTGCAGGCAAACAAGTTTATCGATGGGATTGATACGGCGTCTTGGATTTCGTTGCCGTCACTGGAGGTCCTTGTGTCATCTTCTCTTTATCTATATGGCCTTGAGGCCGCCTGGGTTGAGGAGATATTCAACTATGATATAAAATCCTGATGAGATAAATTCTTTTTGTTTTGATCGTGCATCATTTTGAATTGAATAGTGGTTTTTGTTTTCAAAATTTTTATCTTTTTTTTTTTCTCATTGTACTTCCTTGCTTTCTTTAATATAAAGGGCTCGGCCCTAAATTTCCCCCCAAAAAAAAATATTTATACTAAATCTGTGTTTTCTAATCTTCTAATTATTTTTATATTTTCTTAAGAGAATAATAACATCTGAAATTATTTTCTTCTAAAAAAGATTATTATTGATAATTAAAGTTATTTAAAATAGAACTTAAAAATGAAAATAAAAAATTTAGGTAAAAATAATGTGCTATAATTTTAGGAATTTGACATGTGATGTTTTAATTATTATAAAAACTACACGAGTACAATGTGCACATTAATACAAATGTAAAAACAAAAATAAATCTTATAAAAATATACATATATTTTTTACTCACATGCATGAATTAAAATATTATCAATAAAAACAATTATAATAATACTCATTTACCTCGACATAGATTCTATTAAAATGAATTTAATAGGATTGCAAAAATAAAATATTATAGCTTCGACACATCACCGAAAATTGCTTTGGTCGAGCACGAATCTCGATATATATTTAAGTTGAAAACTTTTAAAATTAAATTCAGGATCATCTGAATTCTAATTTTAGCAAACTTATAGTCAAATTGAATGTCTCAAAGAGACTAACCCAACGACACTAAAATCGGTCGAACCCGAGCCCAAATGGGTCATAATCGGGGGCCTGAATCACATTTGAAAGGATCAAAGCATTATTTGGATGACAAAATGATATTCAAATATGACATGCTTATAATCAAATTGAGCAACTCGACGAGTCAAATCCAACGAGCCTATTGGAAAACTCTCTATGATCAGGGGTAACAATACGAACCATCTGATGGAGCACTCCGAACCTGCCTCAAATCTTCTATATATTTACGGGGTGTGCCACTCATGAAAATTTATAAATAGACCATCACTCTCTACATAAATGGGACAATTGGGTTATAGATTGGAGAGAAATCTGAGACTTCAAGAGCTCATGCACCATTGCTGACGAACCCACATCGACTATCGTGGGACTATCGCCGAACTACCACCCGGCCGCCGGTCTTCGTCGGACCACTGCCCGATCTTCGTCGGACCACTGCCCAGTCTCCGATCGCCGCCGAACTTCCACCCGACCGCCGGTCACCACCAAACTTTAGCCCGACCATCATCAGACAATCGCGCGGAAGCCGATCAAAAAATAAAATTCTCAAAAAAGAAAATATTTTAATTTAGAATTAAAAAATCGAGCTCAACAAACATGTCAAACTCAAGCTTTCAAAATGAACTCTAGCAATCAACCCAATCTTGTGCCTGTAAATTTTTTAACGAGTCGAGCTCGGACTTACTAAATGAGCTAGAGTCGAGCTTGAGCTCAAAAAGAACTAAATAAGTTTAGCTCGATTAGGCAGATACTTAACTCATTTACACCCCTAGTAGACCCAAATTCGGGGCATAAGAAAAATTTGTAATGAAATAATCTGCTTTTTCCAGCATACTAAAAGATCTTACAGTTATGAAATTTTTCTTATAAGGCATATTAAGAATTTGTAAAATAGTTTATAAAAATAATGTATGCATTAATATTTTAATTTTTTTATTCTAAATTTGATAATAAATAATTTCTTGAATTTATAGTCTATAAAATTATTATATGTAGTAGAAGAGATCTTAATTTCATTTTTATGATGATTTTTCAGTTAATTATATATAAATATTAATTTTATAATAAATATCTTCATCATTCTTATATTAAAAAAAAAAAAAAACTTTCAAGATGTAAAAAAAAAATGTATATGAATTTTTTTTATTTTTGAATTTACAATAATATGTCATAATACATAGCCTTTGGTACCCCCTAAAATTTCCATCTATCAAATAAAAATCCAAATATAAAAATCATATTATTTTCATTAAAAATTTAACACAAACATTAAAAAAATAAACTCATGCAACATATTAATTTAATAAAAACTTATTTTAAATAAAAATAAATAATACTCTCCAAATTGTAATTGGTTCACATAAAAAATAGAATCCAAAATAAATTTCTAAGGATTGTTTGGAACAATATAGCATTATATTCAGAGATATTTTTCCAACCATAAACTAAGTCTCATCCGAAATAAAGCTAAGCACGATCGGATACTCCCATCCCGTATTCGAATCCCCTCTACTACGGCCTCGCCTCTTCAATAGGGTAAAACAAGTGTGGGCCCGATGCTGGTGTTGACCTCGCTAGATTCCGCCGAAGTATTAGTTATGCCGTCAAACGCTCCCTTTGAAGTAAGAGTGGCAGCGAATAGATACCCCATTTTCAAAAAAACAATTCAGAAGAAAGCAGCCCACAGAGTTAATTGTTTCATGTGCTGATATATTTGTATGGGGGACCGAATTCAGATTTCAGAACAAATTTTTCTTTAAAATAAGCAGTTCGCAACTCCGAAAATAAATGCCGAACTCAATTATATAATATCGGTCCTCACTGATTAATATTTTAATTAATATTTTTCTATTATTGATGAAAAAGATAAAGCTGTGTGGAAAATAGAAAAAAACTATTTTCGAAAACCTTCCGAATAAAGGTCAGCACCAATTTATTGTGTTCAAATGAAAAAAAAAATTATATTTTGATATAATTTACATTATATTTATTAATTTATACTTCGATATTTAAAGAATTCAATTAAAAAGAACAAAAAAGAAGAAAAAACAAAAAAAAAAATTAAGCATATTAAATTTAACATCTCAAATAATACTTAATAATAAATAAATAATGAGTATTCATAAATCAATCTTAAAAATAGCAATGATTTTTAACTTTATCATATATTGATGGGGCAACAACAACATCAAATCTTTATCCCGCTACATGGGACCTGCTATATGAATACTTTTTAAGAGCTAAATTCTCTTTAAATCTAATAAAAAAGATTATTTCTAATACTTTCCAGCCAAATATTTTTAAGTCTACCTCAACCTTTTTCAACATAAGTTAAATCTAATACATTTATTCTCCTTACCATGTTATTAGAAGGACGACATTTTATGTGATCAAATTAGGGGTATCAATTCGGGTCAACGAGTCTAGTTCGGGTCGAACCCGGAACTGACTCGGCACTGTTCGGGTCAACCCGAACCCGACCCGATTCGAGTCCGGGTCAACCCAACCTGACACGAATGACCAGAAGTTGACCTAAAATTGCTAGTTTTGGGTCAAAAATCGGGTCAATATTCAATTTTCGGGTCAAAATCGGGTAAAAAAATGGGTCAATGTTGGGTTTCCAAGTCAAATAGGAGTTTTCGGATCATTTTCGGGTTGCTAGGTCAACCAGAACCCGACCCGATTTTTAAAACGAGTTGATTTGTTGAACCCGAACCCGACCCGTTTCTGGTCCAGGTTGACCCTAACCCGAATTCTTCCGGGTTGGGTTCTAGTCGTGTCAAAAAATGACACCCCTTGATCAAATCATCTAAGACGACAATCTCTAATCTTATTTGCCACTAGAGCTACTCAAAACCTTTTCATATATATACTTGTTTTGTATTTTATCTCTAAGGGTAAAGCTATATATCATATATTGATGGTATTTTTTTTTTTTTTTTCAAACTCTACCTTAAGATGATTTCAAAAGAAGGATTATGAACCCTGATAAATGATAGAGATCAAACTCCACCCAGTTGCCCCAAAAATTAAAATCAAGAAGAAATGGCAACATGACTAAATCAAACAAACATGCAATAAAAAAAAGGAGAAAAAGTGTAAAATAGTTTAATCAGCTACTTATATATGATTAATTTAATCATCACATTTCTTTAATTTATTCTCCTAACTGAATAAAATTGATCCCAAATGATTTCTTAAAGGCTAATTTGAGATCAATTTTATATAATTGAGTGACTAAATTAGGAACAATTTTGTATCTCAATTTCTATCTGAGAGAGCATTTGAAATCAATTTTGTATGATTAATGAACAAAAAAAAAGTGATACTCTATAAATAAATTAGTGACATGCATATAATCTAGGGAAAAAATATTGATCAAATAATAATTGGTTGTAGAGCAAAAACCCAGGAGTGTCAATATTAGCAAATCAGAAACAACTTGCACCATTCTCCATCCTAATCTTTTTCCTTCTTCTTCGTTGGGGGAGGGAGGGAGTAAGGGTGTTCGGAATGTTGTTGAATGCTTAATCGATACGGAAAATGTTATTGATTCTTCTTGTGAGAAAGTTATGGGATGTGAGAATTCTAACATTGCGACTGGGAACGATGGTTTACCTTCTGTTGAGCCTCCGACTGTTTCCCCTGGTGCTAAGGGTGATGCTGGTGTTTTTATGTCGGGTGCTGCTGATATTTCTTTGTCTCCTAATACAATAAGCCCAAAATGTGAGAATTTGCAAAGCAAAGATTGGTCAAGTCATAATAATAGTCAATTAAAGATGGATGAAAAGCAAATAAGAGAGAATTCAACAAGAATTTACAGCAACAAAAGAGCTAAAACATTCAAATATAAATAAGCAAAAAAAGTGGAGAGATTATTACGTGTGGAGTCCAGACACAGAAAACCGTTCAGTTTTATAACTGTAAACAATAAAAACACAGTTATTGTTCATCACTGCACTTTTATTGCTCACCCATACGCTTTTTATTACGTTTTTACTGTTCACAGTCACAAAACCGAACGATTCCCGATGTCCGTACTCCGCACGTAATAATCACTTTTTGGGGGGTAAGGGCACACAATCAAATAAGTACTATCATAGAGCAATAAGATCAAGTGGGATGAACTGAGTTGAACTCAGAAAAACACAATGATAATTTTGAAATGTGTGTGTGGTGATGGGGAGACTGAAGAAAAGGATTATTGGCCTCAGCAAACAAAAGGTATGATGGATTAAAATAGAAATTGAGTTCAGATCGGATTGAAGCTGCTATTGCAAATGACATTAGGTCAATTATTGATGGTGAATATCAAAAATAACTTACGCAATGGAGAGACATACTCAAAATGTAATGATACATTGATATTTGTACAAAAAATATTGTTTCCTTGTACTTCTATTCATTTCACTAAACTATGTTATTCAATTGATTGTGTGATTGTTTTTTATCCAATTTAATCCAATATTGACTTCAATGATAGAAGTTGATAGAGTGCTTTCTCTCCAACCAAAAGACCCACCTTTGAAGCACACTAACCTCTAAAATTGTAATCTTATTTGTGATTAAGGCTTCGTTTGTGATAACTTTCTTATTGCTTTTTAAAACAGCTTTCATCCAAAAAAAAAATTGTACTAAAAAATTGTTTTAAAAAGTAGTAAGAAAGCTGTCCCAAAAGAAGCCTAAATCACTCATCAATCCCACAAAAAGTAAGTTATATGCATGCTCTATGCAACTTCTGGTATCTGACACTACACTAGTATAAAGCTATAAACAGTCATAGAGACATCTATGTGAAGCTATTGTGAGACAACACAAGGTAGAGAGATAATTTCGAGTATGGGCAAAATTGTGATATAGATATTCATTTATTCTCACTCTATAACTATCTTGTTACTCATTAACACCTAACAATTTTCTAGTGTACAACAGTTAAAAATAGTAAATTGAGAACAAAAAAACAAGTCTGAAAGAAGATTTCCTATGGTCGGAAAGAAGCCAATTGCTTGATGAGAGAAAAAAAAAAGTAGAATTGAGCTCACTAAATTAGAGTTATCTTAAAACAAGTGGCTTTTCAACTTGAGTATGATTGGATAACCAAACCAAAGTAGAGATTTAATTATACATGCGTTTTATATGGCCGGTAAGACGCCGGTAATTACCGGGCCATCGCCGGCGTTTTGACCGCCCAAATTTACCGGCTGCTCTAGCCGCCGCAATTCGTTTCCTATGTGGTTAGTACCGGCTGTTTACAAACCGCTAGGAACTTTTAAAACCGCCGGATAAGTCATCTATACCGCCGGAGAGTGCCGCGGGTAATTGACTATTTTCCTATAGTGTCTATCAGTTACTATGATTGATCAATCCAACAATGACACCGAGGATAGATAAAAATGATGTATAAGAAATTGAAAGAGAATAAACAGCAGAAACTAATATTAATTAACAGTGAAAATGATATAGAAATCGATTTATCTATATTTTTCAGGCTGTAGCATATATAAGAAGATCCCACCTGCAACGGAAACATTAAGAGACTCGAAAATCCCTGCCATCGGAATGCCAATAAGTTCACATGATTGCAACGCTTCAGGTGAGAGACCAAGCCCTTCACTGCCTAATACAAGGCAGAGAGGTCTATTAGCCAGCGAATCTGCAAGCTTAGCTGACAGAAGTGAAATTTGACTTGATGCTTCAGCATAGTTCTCTGGATGGCCAGCCAGCATCTTCATCTGGAATCTGCTAGCAAGAGCCTCTAGATGGAGCCAATTGCCAGAAATAATAGGGATCTGAAAGGAAGCTCCTCGAGCTGCTCGGAGTGCTTTCTCATTGAAAGGATCACAGCAGCCAGGAAGAAGAAAGACTAGGTCCTGCAATGGATTTGAACGGATAGATTTATGTGGGAACCAAACATACTGGCCTGTAAATAACTATAAGAAAAAGGTATTTTTCACTATAATGAATAATGAAGGGATCAAGGGAATAGGGTATAAATAAAATCGAAGTCAAAGAAATATTATCCAAATGACAAATTTAACTTTGAAAAAAAGCTAAGAAAGAGTTGTCGTATCAAGCATATCACTATGATCAGACTCAAGAAATTTCATGGTAGTAAGGACATAACACGTGCCTTCTAACTATATGGTAAGTTTAATGACACCATTATATTACAGAGCCTAGATGTACTCCAAGTCCATAAATCATGAGCCATTAGACGCACCCGATAGAGCATAAATTGTGTAAGATAATATTGCCTTAAAAGTGGTCCCTCCATATAGCTTTCTCCAAAACATACAAAAGTTTTCTTGAATGGCACACTCGTGGTTGCAAATAAGAAAACTATGGTCATATTTGGTTGAATACCTCTGTTGACTAAGTATACTAAGACCTGTGATAACATGGGTTGATATGAATAATTAGATATCTTGATTGTGTCCACAATCATTGTTATTAAATCAAATAACAATACGCCTTCTTTAAAATCAAGTTGGTACTACTAAAACAAAATGTCATGGAGTGATTGATATGGGAAATAAAATACAAGGGCTTGGGCTTAGTTGGAAACCTATGAACTAATTAATGAAGTATTCGTTAGAGGATAAAATATCTTCATAGTGCCTTTTTAAATATCTAGTCTTCTTTCTAAAAATTTAAAATGAAACATACTTAAATATAATAAAATTGTGCAATATTTTTTAAGCCTACACCATCTACACTCTACAATCCCCATCTCCCAATAGTTCTTTAAAAAGTCATATGGCAAAATACTCACTGTCTAAAAAAATCTTTTACTAGACTTGATCATTTATCTTCCTCATTTCATGGCTTTATCTTATCTCTCATTACTACTTTATTCTCAGAACATATGAAGAAGCACTACACTCAATCCTAATTATAAGCAATAGTGAAATGGGGGAACCTATAGATCATCATGGTAAGGATCTTGTTTTACAACCAGCATGTGTCAAGCCTATTCTTATGGGTAGCTTTCAGGATAAAGTTTCATCCATATGGTACAATTGACCAGTAGAAAACCTGCTTATTGGCTAAAGGTTACATTCAAGTTTATGGAATTGATTATTTTGAGATATTATTCCCCACGGATTGATTGAACTATGTTCTTCTACTTCTATTCATCACCATTCATCAATGTTGGTCTTTACTTCAAATGAAAAAAGTCTTTTTCTCTATGATGATCTCTTTGAAACAATTTATATGAAGCAATCACTCAAGCATGTTTCTAGAGAGAGAAAAGGCTTTAAAGGGTATATTTATGTTGAAACGAAGTCCTTGTGCCTATTTTAATAAACTCCGCAAGGTTATGCAATCGGCTTACACAGTAAGATAATTGATCTCTGTATCTTCAACCACAACTCGTCCTCTAGTACAATGATTTTTTTGGTATATGTTGACAACATTCTCCTTACTGAAAGTAATAAATCTGATATTGAAGAAATTAAAATTAACTTCAAAAGACATTTGTTACTTTAAATTTGGGATACCCGATGTATTTTCTTGACATCAAGTTTACTTATAACACAAAAAGAATTTCCCTTTCCCAAACGAATATGCCATAGACCTAATTACGGAATATAGGCTTCTTGGTTCCAAACTAGTTGACTCACGTGTAGATACTTTACATAATTATAATGATGAGTAAAGCCTCTAATATACACTTTGTTATTGTCACATACTTGATAAGCTTATTTACCTGATCGTCACTTCACATATCCTTTTAGTTAATGATGAGTAAAGCCTCTAATATACACTTTATTATTGTCACATACTTGGCAAGCTTATTTAACACACTTTGTAAGTATGGTCTGTTAACATATGCAAAATTAAAAGAAGAAACATTGGATGAAATCGTAAGGATTTTAAGATATATAAAAAAATCTCAGAGAAAATGATAAACAAATAAAAAAACACAACCATTTATAAATTGAAGCCAACTTTGATGTTGATTTTATTTGATCCGTTAAAGATCGAAGTTTTACTTATGAATATTATATTTTCGTGGAAAAAAAATCTTATTTCATGAAAAAATAAAAAACTAGATTGGCTGTTGTTGTTAGATCTAAAATTGAAGTCAAATACAGAGAAATGTCATATTCCGCATGTGAAATGATGTGGATAAAAAATCTTGTTAAAGAATTTGGATTTCTAGTTAATCAATCTATGGCTCTTAAGTTTGATAATCAGGCAGCCATCCATATTGTGAGCAATCTTATTTTTCTTCAAAGAACAAAATATATTGAAATAATTATCATTTCATCAGAAATGATGTTCTATCAAAGTACATCGCTCTTTACCAAACTAATCAGACCGGCCCAGGAGGGGCTTGTCTAGTTCTACAGGAAGCGGGCTAAGCCGATTCCTTAATGTGTTTCACCTAGCAGGTGGGCCCCCCTTGAGGCGGCAACAGGAGAGAGAGAAAGGGGTGGCTAGCGCATAAGGAAAGCTTTATGTTAGGAAATTTTTAATTAGGAAGATTTGTATTTAAGAATGAGGAGAGGCTAGGGTTAGGGCATACAAATTTTTTGATTTCTCTTGGAGTCTCTTTGGCATCTTGGGCTCTAGGATTCTTGTCTAGAGATTGGGAGAGAACGATCCTCCTCTCGAATTGAGGATCAATTGTATCTTTGTTTCGTTCTTGTTTCGATTTGTTTTTAATAAGGCTATCTATCATTTCATTGTTTTTCCACCATATTTTATTCTATTTTCTCACTGTTTTAACGATTATTGTTATGTTTGCTTGGGAACTCAAGTATTTCCCATCAGGGTTACTTGTGAACTCAAGTTATTTCCTATAATGCTCTTCATGCCTTTATTAATGAATGATTAGCATATACTTTTTACAAGAACTCTAGGACTACTTTGACTGTTCAATCTTTTCAAAAAGCTCAAACTTCAATCTTTGCAGGCAGCTTAATCTTTATGATATATACACGCAAATTTGAGGGAGAGTGTTCATATTTTCCATAATGGAAAGTGAGTAATGCGGATATTTTTCATTATTATATAATATATTCTCTTAATTAAAAATATTTCCAATATTAGTTATTTACTTTTCTATCATTTGTATTTACTAATATGATGACACCAATTCTAAAGTTTTTTCCCTCAACAATCACAAACTTTGACATCTTGCAGCCTAAGGCCAGGGAAAAAGAAAAGGAATTTTCGTTTCTAAGAAATGGTGGGGAAACAAGACACTTGAGCCTTCTCTCTTAATCTTCAAGTTCATTTTTCAAAGCAGCTAGTTCAACAGCTCAAATAAATTGGTGGAGCGCCGCTAAAACTCAGGCTGACATCATTCATGTTTCTCTATCAAGCACATAAATCAACATAAGACGGGAACATGCCAAAGGGACATTACAGACTCCAAAACAGCAGAAAAAAATATACATACCCACTTTGGGACACCTTAATTTTTCATATATTGAATAAAATGTTAAAATTAGAAATTATTCTAATAGCATATTTTCTGTTAAAATCATTAAGCCAGCACAATATTTGCAGTATTGAAATAAAGAAGTTATACATCAAAAGTAAGCCAATTACATCAACATGTACAACAAAAATAAAGTTTGCAATACCTAGTATATTGCATGTAACAATAATGCTAGCAAATAGAAAAATATAGAAAACTTGTGAAGCAAATCAATAAGATATATAAAATTGAGATTATTGATGGCAATGACGACACATGTTCATCTTACCCATTTGAAAGCCAAAGATGACCTTAAAAGCGTGCCAACATTACCTGGATCCTGTCATGGGCACTTTTGACTAGTTAGCATGAGGATTCTCATTAAAAAGCAATGCAAATGAATAAGCAGTTGATGTGGTGCTTGAATTAAAGAAAAGATATGTGATGCTTGTTTTTATAGATTTTCAAGATGAAATGCAAACTATTTAATGAAAATGTGCAAAAATAAACATGCAAATCCCGTAGGCAAAGTAAACTATCTACCACCAATTAAATGCAACACACGCAAGAATAAATAGCAAATCTCATGAAGAAAAAGACTAACAGTAACAACTATTACTAAAGATGATGAAAACAACACATGCAAATCTCACCGGGAAGCAAACTAACACCAGCATTGCAGGTGTGACCACAATCTTATAGAATCTTCTCTCAAATTTGAGGGGGACTTTTCTATCACAAAACAAGCCCGATGTATTCCTCCACTTCAACCATCCAACTTGAATTCTATTAATAATATCTCCATCTATTTCACCATCACTCTAAACAATAAACCCAAGATATCGAAAACGTGTACTCTTATTAATGACTTCCCAAAGTCACAATCTCCCCATTAGATCTATTATTATTAAAATTACACTCAATATATTTAGTTTTAGTTTTTAGTTTTAGATCTACTCAAACGAAAGCTTTTAGACTCTAAGGTTGACCTCCATAATTCAAGTTTACCATCAAATCCCTCTTTAGTGAAGAGAAATAAATGTTCATGACTCGTTATTGCATGAAATATGAGCTATGCACCAATAATATGCACCAAGAAGTTGAATCGAAACATGAAATATGCACCAAGATTTTGTTCTGACCTGGAGCAGAACACACAATTCTACAATGCGAGGTAATTCAACAAGCATGCTTTGCTTCGAGCTTGAGCTTCATTAACAAGTGATACTCAGGACAAGCCTATCACTCCTAAAGCATGTTTTTAATAACATCAATAGGAACAGTCTTAGATAACAGAGGCTCACAAAGTTTCATGAATAAGCCACAAATATGCTACAATCCAACTAAGGAAAAGCTGCAAATATGCCACAATCCTGAATAAGGATACAGCGTACGAAGCAAGCATAAAAACTTTAGTCCTGAAAAAATTAGTAGTCCCATTAATAAGAAGCCGCTTCAGATCCATATCAACAGTAGTATTTGCTTCAAAATTAGTGAAGAAGGCTTCGAAGTGGAGAAGAGGTGTCCTAAACATCCTGCTTTGCTCGTCAGTTAAAACGGACAAATCAAAATTCTTTAATGTAGTTTTTACTATTTTTCTGTCTATTCAAAAATGACTTGAAATTTTGAAGCTGCAAAATTGCTTCTGGAATTTGCTAAGTTGACCGATACTGGCAAGCATCGTAAGGATTTGGATGTAAGTTTTCAAAAGCTTGCGATGCATTATCCAACAACATAAGTGTAATAGAACTAGCAAAGAAAGATCATCCCGGGACAAAATCATCTTCAAATAAATTTAATTGCATATGTAAAATAATTAAATGCAAATTGCAAATTTCAAAATTTAATCTATATCAACAAATAATAAAAAATTCAGTGATTCCTCATGAAAAATGTGATAAAATCGCTATTAAAGTCCATCATATGCCCTCCAAAAAGAAGAAAATATGTTTAAGTACTACCTCACCCTACATCTTCATGTACTTTAAACATGAAGTTATGAACTGTCCAAGAGGATGCGTGAGATCATACACCCCAAGATGAACTTATAGGGAATCACAGGATTTATTGAAGCCACACAAATAATTTTGCAATCAGAAACGATTAAGACAGATAAACAAGAAAAGTGGACCATAAAGTCAGATAATTGATGTTTTCAATTTAATTCGAGAGATGTAATAAAATATGGATAGATTGTATCTCTACAATTGTGTTTGATTATAAGCAAGTATAAAAACCTGTTTAGCTTTGTAATGGCTTCTATGGAACCACTGACAAGCCAAATAATCTAACAACACTCCAACGAAAGCAGAAAAAAACTGCCGTCTGGAGCCTCCCGTAAAGAAGCAACCTGATCATGAAAGATGAGGTATGCATGAAGCTATGCCACACACGCTTTGCAAAACCGAATAAGCACTCGGTACCAATTCTTAGGCTCATCCTTCTATACACTAAGCCATGAGCAATGTTGCTTCTAAATTTCACCAATCAATAAGAAAATCATGTCTAATAAAACAACTGGCAAGTTACAAGTTTCCAATGAGACCAACTTATTTCATCTTGTTATCGTTAGCATCAAAGTTTCCACTTTAGATTTAGTTGACTTTATTTATTTGGTTGTCCTTTAGCGCATTTTATTCACTCTTCAATTATAAATAAGAGGTCCTACTGGATGAGACAATCTCTTTTAACCTCAAAATTGTATTAGAGTGGGATTAATCCTAACCCTAACAACCACATGCCACCCCCTTCTTTCTCCTTCCTAATTCATGATATGATTATGCCCTCACCCACCTTGTTCCCACTCATCCACAACACCCACCCAATTAACCCTGATATAAACCTTCATACTTCCCTCCCAAATCCGAATTCAAATCAGCCATTTTTTTATAAATAAAGATTTCCTAATTCTCTCCAAATCAAATAAGCCCTCTTTCTCTAAATAAATCTTTCATAATTCCCTCCCAATCAAATCAATCATCTTTCACTAAATAAACCTTTCATAATTCCCTCCCAATCAAATCAGCCCTCTTTTTCTAAATAAACATTTCATAATTCTCTCTCAATCAAATCAGCCCTCTTCCCCTAAATAAATCATTCTTAATTAGTCCCTCCTTTCCTCCTTACATAATGAATAATAGATCCCCCGAGCCCCATAAGGGGGGCCAAAATTCCCCCTCTTGCAGCCCCTAATTCCACCCTGCCAAATTGTTGGTTTGGCCTAGGTTGGGCTGGCCTGGGCAGAGGCTTTGAAGTTGGCAAAAAAAAAATTTGTTATTCTTATGCCAACCATATGAAGAAAATTAAATTACTCTAGTTTTTTTTCAAATAAGCAATGGTAAAGATAAGTTCCAGCTAAGTTCTCCCAGAGATCAAGTTATAAGAGTTTATAGGAATTCAAAATAACTTACAATTTGGACCATAGAAAAGACAACTACTGTTTTCTTAAGGATTCATAAAAATGAGATAAATTTCTTGCTTTAGAGGAGTTTCGATCAGAGTAGAAGACAATCAACAAATGCATAAATTGATAAATAACTATATCTGATACAGATCTACTACTTCTGTGGGTCATTATGAAATAAAGAGGATTAGCTAGAATGATTTCTTCCACATAATAACAAAAAGAGGATTGATTTTGATCAGCGTTATCCCTTTTTTTACTTTCATCATATTGAAACTCATAGTACCTGGATACCATCAAGAACCAATATTCTGTTAGGCAAACGGAACCAACTTGGATATACTGCTTCCTTGTGTTCTCCAAGCATATCAAAGAAGCTTCTAGGGATCTTCATTATGGCTACTGCTTCAGTAGAATCAACTGATTGGACGCCAGAAAGTTTCTTCATCACATGAGGGCTCACATGTACTATCGAAGTAGAGGGGAGATTGAACAATTCTGGTCTCTCCATACCATCTAAAAGAAGTAAGCACTCAATGCTAGAGAGTTCTTCATTATTCAATTCTTGGAACCTGCAAACTTCCCTACACATAAATCACCAAGTAATTAAATTGTTTTTTCACATAAAAATTGCTTCACGTGAGAAAATATAATTAGATGTGGAATCATAAAACTTTAAAAAATTTTAGATGATGAAAGTCATTGTAGAAGTTGAAAGTAACCATTACATGAACTGAATTTGCAACTGATTCAGCCTCCACAACTCAAAAATATAATTGATTTTCGACAACAAAAATCAATCTCTAGGATATGCTTCAGATATAGGATGTTAAACAATAAAATGGTCGTGAAGAAGATTCAGTAACTTGGAACCCAAGTTAAATATTGAACATTAGGAGAAACAACAAGAACTGATATTTTTAATATTTTATGCTCTAAGATATTGCAATTATCCACTAAGCAAGGATTAGCAGGTGTTCAAATTTCCAAGCAAAGTTGTAAATTTTCTATTTATATGTACCAGGGGTGCATGTGATGAAAGAAGGAAACAGTTTTTCAAGGAAAATATTTAGAAGGTTACAATGAATTATCATTGTACTTTAAAGGATAACTGATAAATCAGTACACCGGAATTGGTTAAGCTTGAAACTCATCATAAATTTTAATGTCCTTTTGAAGTTACTAATCAGCATAATAAGATGGTAGATCAAGCTTTTTTGCCAAATTTAACTAGCAGTTTGATCCCTTTCCTTTAAAAAACCGGGATCAGATGCAACGTAATGTATAGCTAGACAGAAGAAGCATTTTTGCATCAATGATTTGAAGAAGATTCTTTAACTTGGAACCTAATTTAAATATCGTGAAGCAACTGGAACAAAAATTTCAGTAGTTCTCGATCGCACAAAGCAGGGATTAATAGGTGTTCTAAATTGCAAGAAAATTTATCAAATTTATATTAATATGCATCAAGGGATGCATGTGATGAAAAATGGAAAAAAAAATTCAAGGAAAAACAGCAGAATGTTAACAACGAATTCTCACAGTGCTATAAAAGATGGTCGGTAAATCGATACACAGAAATTGGCTGAGCTTGCAGCACATTCATAAATTTTAATGTTCTTTTGAAGTTACAAATAGACATAATAAAAGGATTTATCCTAGAACACAGAGTATTTCTATTGACAAAGTTTAGGAATAGTCTGGTTTTTCTATCACTTACCTTTTAAAATCGGGATCTGCTGCAACAGCATATAATTGCATAGATGAAGCATTTTTTGCATCAATAACTATGAAATTTCACGAAGCATAAACAGAAATTTACACAGAATTATGGTGATGTTAGATTTTTAATGTACCCTAATCAAACTTTTTCCAGGTTGTCAGAACTCATGGACGACTCTCTTCAATTCTCATTATTTGACATCTTGGATCCCATTAATCGTCGTGGCATGCATGGCATCATAATCATCTTAATTCTAAAACTACCTAGCTTGGTTTTATTATCGTCATTCAATGATTGCAATTGCATTATCATTAATACATTACTCTCATAGCATTCATTTCTTCATATTATATCAAGCAATAATTATTTATAAAAGTCTTGCATGATTTAAACATTCCAGAGTCCAGACCTTTTAAGAGAAACATAATAATCAAGCAAAGCAGAAATCGAATTTCTTTTTCGAGCAAAATGAAAAAAAAAAAACAATTGAGCCGACTATCTATAGTTCCACTAGTAGGTTTAACAATGAATTGAAGTCTCACATGATGGGAATGAGGCCAACAACTAGGGCATAACCGCAGGAACGGCGATAAGAAGAGCTGAGACGGAGCTTGACGCAGTGCTTAACGAAAGGGTTCGAAGTACTCGATAACCTCGTCGTCGCAAGCTTCTTTTTCCTCAAGCCTGCAGGCGAAGACAGCTCGTTCGAACCTCCATTGTCGCCGCCAGTGCAATATCTTCCAGCGTCAGCCGGAGCCGTCACGCAAAGTAGAGGTTGCAGGAGCGACGCCATGAGCGTCGCCACAGTGGAGGGTGTAAGTGCCGGTAATTACGTTCGAAACTCGAAACAGGATCGATAATCCCACGAATTAAACTCGAAATTAAAAGCAAAAAATCCTCCGCTATATATTTTTATCCAAATTCTCGAAATTAAAGACAAACTCTTAAATTTTTTTGAATTAATTTGAAATGAATTTAATTTTATCTGTTTTAAATCTGATTATAGATTATAATCAGACTCAAAGACATGGGAGTTGTAATGGACGAAAAAGGGGAAACTTCATATATCCCAAGATAGTGGGACTTCTTTAAAGATGTTTGGGTTGGCTATAGGTCGATAGGCAAATGGAGCAAATAGGTTTTAAGTTGTGAGATGGACCAACACTATTATGGATAATTCTGGACGACTATAGCACCACTCACATTGTAGTGCAGTAGTTCGACACTAGTAGCATTATGGGTTGTTGGATTTGTCAAAGAAATTTATTTTCACTACACAATTTTCTAATCCCAAACTATGAGATGGTCGTGCTTTGGTCATCAAGAATTGCAAACTCCGTCAATCGCTACACACTGCCTCCATTGCATTCTCCAGCCGAACTAGCCCTTCTAAGAAATGACGTCCCTCATTATGCATAGTCTCCTTCACTTGTTTCAAAGCCAACTACCATTCTTATGATAGATAAACTATGCATCAATTTTTTATATCAAATGCATAGTTTGGTCTTAGGTTATAGGACATTTTTGGAATTAGTTGCGGGTTTCTTTTTCCCTATTTATTTACTTTGCATGAAGGGTTGTGCGTATTAGATTATATTAACGGTTATGTAAGAGAGAGAAAAAAATGGAAATGATTGAGAATAATTCAATTAAATGAATAGTACACTAAATTATAGCCCTTAGTACTCAAAGGCACCAAGCAATGTTTCAAGTTGAGGGAATGAGCCACCAAGCTTTTTCCCATAGGTCAAACAAAGGATGTTCACAATATTTTATGATTTTTTATATATTTGTTGGCTGATCATTTATTTTATTATTTAAAAAATAGCATGTGATTAATCAATTAATGACTATAATATTTTAATTTAAAAAAAAATCTCAATTATTCACATATTGTTAATAGTTATTTATACTTTAAACATCAAATTCACTTGATTAATTTAAGCATTAAAAAAATCTAGAAATCAAAGTATAAAGGCATTTTATGATTATATTATAAGTATATCATGTATTATGAAATATAGGATGTGTTGTCAATAATAATAATTAATTTCAATTTTAAATAAATATTTTGACTTTATATGACTCATGGCACATAATTTGAGACATAATATAACTATTAATTTTTTTAGAGATACATGACTAAAAGTTAATTATAGTGAAATAACCCACACCTTCTTCACAAATTGTGTGTAATGGCATATATTCAGCAGTCAAATAATATTTCAGAAGTCATTATATATTTAATGTATAAAACATAATTCTCATAATATAGATATTGTTGTGCTCTAATTATATTTTTTTTTCTAATTTTATGGGCATTGTATATATGAAAATAATAAGCTTTTAAATTAATCATAGTTCCTTATGAAATTGACATATATCGGCATAAGGGTTGTTTGGGACCGTTAGTTGTCCGTTTTACAAATTGATTATATGATATCATTCCAGACATACTTAGCTAATTTATGAATATTTTTCTATAAATTTTTTATCCCCATATTTAAATATACAAAATAAATTATTTGACCACTGTTTTTAAAACTAAACAATTAGCATAATTACCGATGAGTCCTTAGCTTATTTTATTATCAGATATCTTTACACACTTACCAAACATGTCATATGGCCATCTCCTTTTTTTTTCTCAAAGGAGAGAGAGAGAGAGAGAGAGGGGAGGGATAAGAGAGAAACTTGGGTTTGGAGATTGTAAATAGGGGGTCAATATTTGACCAAATTCAAGCTCGACCCAAAAAATTCTAGGCTCAGGTCAACTGGTTTGACAAACGGGTCAGGTTCAAGTTGATTAGAAAACTCGAAGTTAACTCCAGATGACTCGAATCCTACCTGCACCTTTTCACTCAACTCAATCCTGCGTCCCGCACCGCGTATGGCTCACCAGCGGCCTGCATCAGTGCCTTGCCTGCGTGCATACTGCCAGCTTCACACTAGCTCACCCATGACCTACCTCCGAGCTCGTGGCTTGACCACACACCTCACACCCACGTCGGTGCCCTGCCTCGCCCGGAGCTCGACCTCACGCCCCACAACTCACGCATGTTCACTTGTTGTGCACCCGACTCAACATGTTAGGTCGGGTCGATTTGGGTTTGGAGCGAGTCGGCCCTGAGTTTGGATTTTTGGCCGGTTTTTAAAATCGGTTCGGTTCGAGTTGGGTCAAATAGTGACGGGTCAATTTTAAGTTGGACCCAAACCCGACCCAAAAACCCAATTTTACACCCTAATTATAGAATATTTTTGTTGGTCAATCAAGTTGAAAATTGTACTCTTCTCAATGTAGGCTATCATTATCTTACATATGATTTCAATGATTTTGCGTATTTTATAGTTTATGAATTTTAATTTGATCAAAACTTATAAAATTTGTGATATCTTTATTTTTAGTAAATTTCAAAGTTTAATCATGTAACTTTTAATATGTTATAGTTTTAATTATTATACACGTATTTACATGAATATATTAAATTTAATTGTAATAATGCTTATTGATCATATGACATATTGCTATTTTATTGATTATTGTGTTACATATTTTTACAATTATATATTCATATAAATAGTGATTGAATGATTAAATGCATATTGTTCATATTATCTTATATTAATTTCAGTTGTAGGTTCTGAGAACCTACTGAGCTATTAGCTAACTATGTGGTTTTATATAATTTCAATAAAGGGTCAGAATCCAGTTGAGTGAGGACATATCTCAAATTCAAGTTTTATTTTGTTTACATTTTTATTTATTTTTTTATTTTTTTATTTTTTTTATTTTTTTATTCTTTTGTAGTCAATAGCTAAAAAATAGACTAATACATGCATGTATTAAATTATTGACCCAAAAAAGTACAAAGTAAAAAAAAAGTAAGACTATTGAAATTATAAATTTCTATATTTTACCTATATCAGGAGATCATTGGGAACATTAATAGAGTGCTTGTTGAAACTATCTATAGGAGCAAAGATATGTGAAGGAGAAAAAGCTTTCGCAATGAGTGCTTGCTAAGGGCATTGACTTGAGTGATGACCTGTGAAGGAGAAAATGATTTTATCATGCAAAAAAGTTATTAAGTTCAGACAAAAAATCGAAAATCCAAAAAAATACCGAGAGATATCGAATGTTGTACCGAGCACGGTACCGAGCGCCCAAGTGACGTGGCGCTTTGTTATTGGCCTTTGGACATGTTCGATGTCCGGACACAATAATTACTCAGTGATGAGCTTGCAAAGGGCATTGACGGGAGCGATGTGTAAAGGTGAAGAGAATTTTATGATGAAAGCTACACATTATGAATGAGAATTCATATTCAAATAATGATTTGAGCATAGATTAGAATAATGTTCAAATTAGATTCAATTTTGAATTGATTTATATTAAGTTTATTTTTAATAGACTTTAAAATAATCAATTCAAAAAAATTTGTTCTAAATTAAATTATTTTTTTTTATAAAAATCAATAAATAAATAGTTATTCAATTTTGAGTCCTCGAGGAATATAAAGTGAAATATCTCTTAACATAAATGTCAATTAATTAACAAATAAAATTTCAATTTATCTATTTATTTATTGTTTTTGTCCCTGAGGAACGTTGCCGCTTAGAACGATTTCCTATCGCGGCTCTCAGTTTGACTCGATAGCTGCAGCGACGGCGCGATGGAGCGGAGATCTTCGAAACGCGGAAAGCCTAATCTTCCGTCTTCTCTAGCTAAGCGCATCCGGCTGCCGCCGGCAGACGGTGGGGCGGTAGAACTGTCGGCCTCAGGCCAACGGGGTTCCTCCTCGTCATCGCCCTCCGCCGTTATGGTTACAGGTCTCCCCTCAGACTGCACGGTCCTCGAGCTCAAATCCCGCTTTGAGATGTATGGCCCTATCTCCCGCACCCGAATCGATGAAAATTGCTTCGGATATGTGACCTTCCGCTTTGATCAGGCTGCCGAGGCTGCGATTGCCGCCTCCATCGATCCCACTTTCGGCATCGCAATTAGAACCTCGAAGGTACTGCTTTTATCGCCTTAAATATTTGCATTGTACCATGAAGTCTTTAACTTTGTGCGGTGAGTCGGGTTGCTTCTGTAAATCAGGTCTTTTTGCCCTAAAATATAGGGCTAATTTCAAATTGAAGCATTCCATTGGAACTTAGCTTTCTTAGAAAATAGTTGGATTAGAGAAAACAAGAAACAACTGATTTATTGGACTTGATGTGCCCAATCGGAAGTTGGAATTGAAACGTTGTCCAAATTGGGGTAATATGTTCTGATAACTTCGTTCTTTTCCGCCGCCAAGATGGGGGTAATGGTCAGGGATATGAGAGCCTTCATAATTCATTAAGCATATAACTTGTAGGTGCAATTACTCTGTGGAGGATTAAGTGAGGTATAATCCTATATAGATGCATGGGGATCAGGGCGTAGCTAGAAATGTTTATTAGTGGGGGCACAAATTGATAATTTTTAAGTTACTCTCAATAATTTTTTGCAGGTTTTTTTTATTTTCTATTTATTAGTTCATAGTGAAGTAATATTTCAAAAATATTAATATTTATTTTTAACAATTGATTAAATTTATATTTTATTAGTTGTATTAAACACAAATCTATAATTATTTTATTTCGCTTTAAATATGTAAGTATTAATTTTATTAAAGAATTATAATATATATATATTATTGATACAAATGTGAGACGAAGAAGGAAAGTTAACAGAGGATTAATATCGAATTTAAATATATATTAAGTTATAAATAGTAAAAAGGAGAAATTTTAAGGAGCATGCAAAATGAATAAATTTGCAAAGGAGTGTACTTGGTAGTTTATTTAAAAAAGAGCAAAGTCGTCAAAATTTTTGGCTAAAAGAAAACGACGATTCAGTTGGCGTAGTCCGCATGTCACATGAGCCTAGGGGAATTCGCCAAAGCTTTTGGTGCACTCCTCACAAACTTGGATCCTACACTTGCGCGATGGCAGTGATTCATTTGGTGAACTCATCACACCTAAGCGATACGCACGTGATCAACATGCAATCAAGAGCGTGAGTCTGGGTGTGTTTGTCAGCCGGATTAAAAAGTTAAGGATGACCGAGAAATAATAATTCAATGTATTTATTAATAAACAATAACATTCGAGATCACCTAGGGAAAGATTTGTGGTGCGTTAACTTGTTATAAGTAATGCTTATATTATCAGATTTGTAATTCACAATAATTATAATTTTTGTCTTATACAAACTAAACTATTATGTATCGTAGTCGGGATATCCTCCACCCATTTATAGGTAGTCATGGGCAGAATGCGAGCTCGATGGAATAATGCGATAGATGATGTTGTTGAGTTAGCAAGCAGGGTTAACAGATCAGTGTATATTGATTATAGTATATTTGATACACATGAGCATTAGTCCTCCCCTGTCGAGCGGCCATACAAACACCATACCCATACTCAGGAGTCAAGGAGATCAATTTCAGATGCTCTCAAGAGAATTATTGCCACTGATGTACACACTGATGACTTTCAGGCGTCGAGTACATTCTATGTACATAGGCTCTGGAGGTCATCTCATGCCATCGAACTTTTAGGTGGGTGGATCTTTAATAGCATGAGTAGATCCATATGTTGCGGGACCGTCTTCAAATTATTAATCTCTGAAATTGTTCCTGGTGCCAATATTGTCTTCACTGCAGACATCCACTGTGCAACCTTTTCCAAGCATTTAATAAACAATATCACAAGATTATAGTAAATGGATATTATGTGACCTTGGATGGGTAGGCCTGGGCATGCCTGAACTCCGTTGAAGCATTTGGATGCATTCGTAGACATTATCCCGTAACGATGCCCAACATCTTAGAGTAAGCTCCATTTTGATACAACACGTTGCATATGTAATAACCCGTATTTTGACCCAAACAAATATTTTTTTATGGAGTCATGATAACTCCAAATCGTAAACCGTCTTGTAGTATTTTACTTGCACTATTTTTTTGTAATTTTTAAGTACTTGTGAAAATCCTTAAGAAATTGGCACTTATCGGTACAAGTGAGGATTTTTGGACCGATATGTGTCCATTTGACAAACCGATTTCATCAATATTTTTTAAATAAAATGATTTATTTTATGGATATTTTTTTATAATTTTTAAAGTCCCAAAATTTTTTTTTCTATAATGTTTAAAGTTCCAATTTTTTTTTTTATGAATTTAATATTAATTTTTTTTATTAAATTAATTATATAATATTATATTATTATTATATTCTAAAATATCCTAAGTCACTAAGTTTTTAAAGCTTATCCCTATTCATCATCTGCTAACAGGGACCTACAAAGAAAAAAAATAGAGAAAAATTAAGAGAGAAAAAGAGATTCAGATTTTGAGGTCATAGAGCGGTTTTCGTCAGTCGAGCCAGTTAGAAAAATTACTAATTTTGTTGTAAGGAACCTTTACCTTATTTCTGATTCCAATCATTTTATGTTTTTGATTTTTTTTATCAAATTTGTATTTTCGTTATCGAAAAATGATGATAATTTTGTATTAGTAAAATTTTCACCGTGTAACTTTTTATATGTTATAAAGATTAAAAATATAAATATTTTGAGTATTTATTTGAGATTTTTCACCAAATGATTTTGAAAATACAATAATTTTTGCCAACTCTAAAATTTAAAATTAGTCATTTACTACGGCCCTTCCGACCCCATCGTCAGACAACGGTCTTTCTGATCATTGTCTCCCGCCGACTTCGGTTCTTCCGACCTCCCTCGTCAGACATAGACAACGGTCCTTCCGACCACTGTCACTAGACTACGGCCTTTCCGACTTCCGTTGTCCGCCAACTATGGTTCTACCGACTAAACGAACATTTCCATAAATATAGTTTAGATAACACTACGTAAGATCTATTATCATTAAACTACTAATAAGCATATACAAGTCACATATGTTCATTGGGTCAACAATATGGTTATGTATTTTGGATTAAAAATTTTATTTTATTTTATTTTTTATGCTAGTTTCTATTTATGAAATGCCAAAAATAAAAAATTTGTGGGCTTACACCCCTTGCCTCCTGATAAGTTAAACACCTTGTTTTAGGCCTCTCTTTTAAAACATTGGTCTTGCCCCACATACATTCATTGATTAGAACTTGAAGCTCCTGTGTCATCCATTAAGGGGAGGAAATTATTGTTTTGCAATTGAAGTTGTAGACGTACATATTTACATTATTTATTCCTTGAACTCTTCAAATGTGACATTTATGGTCCTTTTCCTTTTATTTTCTCATTAAATCAAACAAAAGCATGGGTTTAAAATGGGAAAAAACTCATTATTTGTGTAAGTGGGAAAGCTTTTCTCAATAACACGCAAATAACTTTGTGCGTAGCAACTGTTACCTTTAGTTGCAACATTATCAAACTTTTTACTGCTTGTTTGTGTTAGCTTACGACATAAATTCATTTCTAGTTCCAATCATAATTTCATCAACTTAAAAATTTGTGTTATAATTATATCTTTGTTAATTCTCTTAGGGGTTATTTGGTTGGAGGTGTTTTGAGTGTATTGTATTTCAAATGTAATAAAAATTGAAGTGTTTGGCTAGCTAAAAAGTAAATTCAAAGTATTTTTTTGAAGAATTTAAAACTCATCCTTATTTTCATTTTTGGTGTATTTTGAAATCACCTTAATTGGGTGATTTTAGAATACACCTCGTTCACTACTCGCCTTGCATTTTTTGCTTGGTTCCATTGAAGCTTACTGCTTACCCAACAAGCTCCGGTCACGAAGTCTTCTCCTTTACATTCTGGCAATCCCATCCCAACAAGCTCATGTCATGAAGTCCTCTTCTCTTTCACATGTTGGTGAACTCATCCTAGCAAGTTCCTGTCACAATGTCTACTGTTCTTGTCCTAGCAAGCTCTCGTCACGATGTCCTCGTCTCCTTTACAAGCTACCAATCCTGTTGATGCCCATCCCAACAAGCTTTATTACAATGTCATTGTCTTCTTCACAGGCCATTGAGCTCATAGATGCTTGCCCCAACAATTTCTTGTGAAGATGTCTTCATCTCCTTCACAGGTCATTGATTGTTGCTCTAGCAATCTCTCATCATAATTTCCTTTAAGGTTAATTTATTTTTTTCTAATTTTTAACACACAAAAAATCTCTTGAATTTAAAAACACTACCTTTAGTTCAGTCTGTATTTAAAATTCTTCTGAATTCCAATTTCTTCCAATCAAATAACCTCATAAAAAGAGTAGCGTCTACTTTACCCTTCTTGAAATCCCATATCTTAAAGAAAAATGCTTAACCTATCATAGCAGTGTTGGGCTCTTGTTTCAAACTATAAAGTTTTTTATAGTTTAAAAACAAAACTAGCTGCTCATGTAATACAAAATTAATTATAATAATTTTAAAGTATTTAATTTTATATCTAATAGGGAATTTCATAATAAAATTGATGCGGACATCGACACGAAGATCTGACGCATCTATCATAGGAGGCGTCGAAAATCGACGTCTCTAATTTAAATTGTTATTTATTTTATGAATTTTAGCTATTATTTTATGTTATTTCCTGTTTTACCCATAGGTTAGTTTATTTGAGTGTTATGGCCCAAGGGGCATTTTTGTAATTTTTTATTTTCTCATGTTATGGCCTATATATAGGGCCTTAAGCTATTGTAATATGATGGTTAATGAATATGAAAATTTTGTGTTTTCCACACTTGTGTTCTTGAGAGAGGACGAGAGTGAGATTCCTATGGGAAAGAATCGAAGTTGTCACCAGCCGCAGGATGAGTCCGGGCTCGTGAATTGAAGTCCCTTGGAGAAGGGAAAACGAATCACCCGTCAGTCTTCGGAAGAATCCAAGGCTCACTGTTTTCATTTTATTTTCTTTCTTTCGTTTTTATCTTTTCGTAGTCATTTTCATCTTCTTCCTCCTCCCCCATAATTCGTTTGGCGGCCGAATTCTAGCCTCTCCCCTTTTCTCCATTAACTCCCCACCACCCCACACCAACCCGCCGGCCAACCTTCTCCAAAATTTTGAAATTCAATTTCAGGTGCATCAATTTCTTTCCTAACTTGCATCCCAAGCCATTAGAAAAGTTGCCCTTTTCTTAGAATCAATTAACTGTAGAAATTCTAACGTTTCCGAATGCTTTAGACCATTTAGGAAATTCTTTATGAGAGCAAAAATCTGAAATCAGATTTCAGAAAGTTGCCGTTTTTCTTAGAATCAATTAACTGTTAAAATTCTAACGTTTCCTAATGCTTCAGGCCATTTAGGAAATTCTTTTCTTAGAGCAAATTTGAAATCAGATTTCATATTTGATTTAGTCTTGTTTATTCACGTGGGGGGGGGACCACTTATTTAAACAAATCTTCCCTCTCTCCCCATGGCCGGTCACTCATTAATTCATGGCTCCAAATAAGGCCCCATTAATTCCTAATTTTCTTCCTAAGCCTAAATTTCAAATTTCAAATTTGAAATTACAAAGTCCCAATTAAATTTCGGAAAATCTGAAATCAATTTCAAATTTCCCCCACCCAACCTAGTTCTTGCTTGGCTGAACTCAATTTCAGGTTTTCCTATTTACGTTTCCCTCCTCTAAATCAAATCTTCATCTACAAATATTGCAACCAAAGATTTCCCGCAAGGTTTATTTGTTTCCCAGCACCGTGAAGCTTCAAAATTGCTGCTGTCCTGGAAATTCCATCAAAGGAAAGTCAGTGTAGCTTGCTGCCAGAATCCTCATACTGCTGTCCAATGCTCTCGTATAGTTGTTGTTTGGATTTCCTAAGCCATACAGCTTGCTAAATTTCATATTTTGGAGAGGAGATCCTCTCCATAGCAAAGCCAATTCTTTTCCGTTCTACATCAGTTTGGTATCAGAGCATGGATTCGGATCAACTTGGAAGGACTCTAGACTGGGTAGTAGGTCAACTGGGCGCCATTAGTCAACGTCTCAAGGAGAATCAAGTGGCCTTAGCCGACTTCCACCGTCAAACAATCGAACGATTCGATAACCTAGTGCGAGGTAGGACTGACCCACAGCTTTACACACCTTCAAGATCCCCTTCATCCAAGGATAGAAAAAGGGCACTAAGAAACAGAGAAATAATGGATAGAGTGGACAAATGGATGGAGGCCAATGAAGC